GAAAAAATCACATTAAATGACATATAATCACGTTTCCAACGACGGATGTATAAAAGAAACTGGATAACAGCGTTGGAAGAGCGGGGCTCCATTCATCCTATGGAAGTTGGCACTGGAGACTTGGGGCGGTCGAGCCACTAACTTCCGTTGTAGCCCTCCGTAATTGAATGGAGATTAAATGATTTAATCGTTTTTGAAGCTCTTCTAGACTTTCAAATTTACACGGTTGCCCACTATATCAAATTGAATTTCAAAGACAGCGCTCTACCTGGGCCATTTTGTCTATTGTAGTTTAAAGGCATGGAAGATGCAGGACTGTATTATTTCAATTACATGTTAGTTTGTTAGTGTTATCTGAATTCATTTAAGAATAAAAGCGATCATTAAACTTTCAGGATTTTTCGGAGACAGAGAAGATGTAATTCTTCCCCATTTTTACCAAGTGCTAACAGAATACGCAATTATGTTACTGTAAAACTCATTTAGTAAAATCATAATTCTTATACGGAAATGTTTGTTCTATTGTTGCCTACGAGCGGCGGCAAGATTTATTGATGGTTCTGGCTGAGGATTAAAGTACTGCCTAGAATTCATTCGTACTTTTTCATTTAATAGCCTTTATATTATCTACTGTTATTTTATTTGAGTTGTAAATTGACTATTATAGAATCCAGCAGACAGAAAAACACTGGATAAGGCCACCTGAAAATGTAAAGCCCAATGTCATTTCCTGTTCGCTCTTTGGGGCTCTTCAGCCCTTAAGCTCAGAGAAACATATCTGGGTCATGATATGGTAGATGCTGATTCCTCTCTGGGAATTTGATAATTCTTGTCTGCTATTTGGTGTTGGGCAGGTAGAATACATTGTTTTCATCACGAGCTTTTTGGGAAACCTGAGCGAATTTCGTGGGCCGTAAAAAACAAAAAAAACTAAAATAGACTGAAAAAGCTGAGAGGAAAGTGCAGATAACCACAGTCATCTAGATCCAGGATAAGGAGACTTCTCTTGACTTCACTTCACCTGAAAAACAAACACAGCAACATGAACGAGAGCAAACACAGAAAAACGACAATTCAAGCAAAGACTGATATTATGCATTGTGTTATCCTGATAAAATGTTTCAATTCAGCTGACAGTGTCTCTCAAGATGCCACACATTTCATCCCAAAAACAGATACTCTGTTTATATGTTAACATGTCTGGATTTTCAGATGACCCAGTTCATTGCACAGTGTCGTGTCACAACCGATACATGCCACCTCGTGCGACTGAGGCCGCTTGTCAGGTGTTGACTGTGGGAATTACACACACGCTCCAGCTCGCACCACAACAGACCTAATAAAAACGCATTAACATAACGGAGCGTTTTATCCACCTTTCTCACACCCTCTAAACCAACCACGGTCCATTCAGTCACATAAAGAACATAAATCTCTCACTCTGCATTACTCCAGGCTGGAGCAGACGGGAATAAAATGAAAAACAAAAACAGAAAACGGGAACAAAGGACGGGAGTTGGGAGGAGAGTGAAACCAAACAGTTAAATTTAGAGCCGTATCTTAATCCAGATCTTCTCTGACTACGCTTGAGTGGCGGTAATAGAGAGGAAACCTTGTTAGTAAATGGCAGTCTGGAAGAGATTGGAGAAGAGAGAGAGAGAGAAAGGAAACCGAGAGAGAACGAGGAGAGAGAGAGAGAAAGAGAGAGAGAGAGAGAAAGAAAGAAAGAAAGAAAGAAAGAAGAAGAAAAGAAAGAAAGAAGAAAGAGAGAGAGAGAGAGAGAGAGAGAGAGAGAGAGAGGAAAGAGAGAGAGAAGAGAAAGAGAGAGAGAAAAATATTTTTTTCTGGTCCGAATTTCTCTCTCTTATTTCAGCGATTTTGTCCAGGATCCCCATTGGTGTCCCTCAGAAGTGCCTCCAGCATGCGACTGGCGCGGAGGGAAACCAGCAGACAAACGTGTCCAGTCCACAGCGTTGTAGCTCTTGTTACCACCCGTGCTAGCATCTACCAGTGGGACTTTTAACATGTGAACACGACCGCGGTACAGTTGGTGTGTACACGACACAGGTACGATTCCAACAGTTAGAAATGTTTTAAAGAGATATACATTTACACTTTGGACAGATGTTACACCTCCGCGGCATGCACAGGTGACCTGACCATCACATCACCGGAACTCCGGTCCGTGCCGGGAAGGTCCGGGCGGAACACAAGTGTCCTGTAAGCGCACATTTCGTCCCGTGTATCTCTCCCACGCTCGCAGCAACCGGTGCAGCGTCACCGTACATCGTTCCCGCCGGTAGAATAAAATATTTAAGAAGCGAGTAATGTTCCAGTCAGCGCGGTTGGCGTTTCATCAGCGGGCTCGCTCCTGGATCGAGTGGTCGGTGTACAGCTCGTCAGAGGTTATTGGCTAGTAATAGCAAACATGCTGCGCCCGCAGGGACCGACGGGCTCCCTGCCTCAACCCGACCGGTTGACGGGTTTGTCTCGTGCAGTGGCCAGCAGACGCCGGAGCGGAGCAGCGCCGTAGAGGAGGCGGAGCCGACCGGATGTGCAAGAAGAAGCCGGTGCAGGGCGTTGTACGGGACTTTTAAAACGTGATAAAGGTCCAGAAAGAAACAGGACGACCGGCTGCGTACGGTGACTCTGAGGAGTGTTAGTACAGTGGTGAGTTAAGTTGATACAAGAGTTGGTTACTGATCTAATATGCTTCTTTAGTTGAGTTTTGTTCTCCTGGAGCTGTTATCAAGAAAAGTTTCTGCTCATGGTCATCCTGTTATATACCTAGAGGCCTTTGGAGACACTGGGTGCAAGATGAAATGTCCGCGCCCACATCTGGTCCATCCCTTTTAATATTATAATTTTGTTTAGTTTATATCTCCAAGGGACAAATACGTCTTTTTTCTGGCTGCGGTGATGTCCAATCAACAACCTTTATATTGTTAAGGCACTTTAAAACACCCAAGTGACCAGAAGTGCTGTACCAGAAGTATACAGACATCAGTATAATAGACTAAACAGCTCACATGAAGGTGCAAAAATTACATATAAAAATCATAAATGAAAAGACATAAAACATGAGTAAAAATAATAGCCACGCAATAAAAAGCAATCAAAATAAGAAATTAAATCAAGTAAATAAAGTCTGTGTGTGGCTCTACGTATGTTTGCATACCCCTGTCTGTATGATTCTGCAGGAGACCCGAGCTGCAGAGTCAGAACCACAACCGGACCCACAGTGTCCATTGGACAGGGAAGAGTTGGGGCGCAGCACGTGGTCCTTCCTGCACACTATGGCAGCATATTACCCCGACCAGCCGTCTTCCACCCAGCAGCGAGAGATGGGGCAGTTCATCAACCTTTTCTCCAAGTTCTTCCCCTGTGATGAGTGTGCAGAAGACCTCAGGGGCAGGTCAGACCACTGTGCTGCTTTAGGTTTAATATGCAGGCTGACAGACCCGTATCAGGTCTTGTAGCATCTTAACGGAGTAGATTTGTAGTAAAAGCCTCAGGCAGAAAGGATCTTATCAGTGATTATGCATGTTTTACTCCTTTATCTCCAAATGAAAGTGCTGCTGACAGGTTTTTAGGTTGATAAAGATGTATTTTGGTCAAAGTTGGGTTGTAACGCAGCTGAAAGCCACAGTTCTTTTTATCTTGTTGTCTTTGGTTTTAGCACAAAAAAGCAAACGGATCAGCAACTGTCACATTGTCTCGTATTAAGAAGAAGAGCAGACAATTTCTAAATGCAACAGTTCCTCTCCACAGATTGAAAACCAATCAGCCAGACACCCGGAGTCGCCATTCTCTTTCTCAGTGGCTCTGTCACATCCATAATGACATCAACACCCGGCTGGGCAAACCCGAGTTCGACTGCTCCCGTGTGGATGAGAGGTGGAGAGATGGATGGAAAGATGGTTCCTGTGACTGAGTAACTTCTCTGTTTCTCAACCAAGACTCACAGTAAAAACATGTTTCACTGAACCTCTTGTTCATTCCTGTTATTGGGGAGTTTTAAAAGTTTAGGATACAAATCTTTATTGAAATTCTTTTACCCAGTCTCTTGTGTGAAATACAAAATAGCTTTTTGTTTTTTTTGGGTCATCGTTTCAGGTGCGACCCTGATTTGTCTGTTAAAGCAGTACATTTAGCCATTAAAATATGGTTTCCTGGTCTGTTTATAAGTTGTGTTTAGAAATCATATCCCCAAAATAGCCAGTACAACACTAGATAATCACATTCTTAAATGTGTGAATGAATCATATTGACTTAATTAAACAATCCTTCTCGTTATGTCAGCTATAACTTAAAAAATACTTTTGAATATGTCAGATAAATATATATATATATATATGTATATATTTTACCTAATGATGATTACAAATTGCTTTTTCATTGAAATACTACACATGTAGTATTTTGTGTACGGGTGTGTTGTGGGCTTGGTATGCCGGGGACTATGGTAATTTATTTGCATAAATTAGTGCTGGATTTGGTAATTATGTAATTCTAATGAGTAGCTGATCATTAAAGTAATTAAATTAAGTACAAATATACCTGTATTTGTTGATTGCAACTTCTCAAAAGTGATGATTTACTTGTGTTTCTCTGTTTCATGTTTTGGCTGTTGATCAGACAAAATAATCAATTTCGAAGACACATTTTGGGACCTGGTAACAATCTGTCATTACTTTTGATATTTTATAGAATAAACAAGTAATAAATAGGTGTTAGATCAGTAGATTCATGGGTAATTGTACCTGGTAGTTTTAGCACCATATGAAGCCTTTTCTCTTCTAGTCAAGGGCATTTGAGGGCCACAACTTTCCATGAGACCTGAGCTGTGTGAGTGTTATTAATAAACGCTCTGATTATTTATACACTATGTTATTTAAGGAACCAGTAGAGGACAAACACACACACTCAAACATGTCTGGTACTCCACTGCTACTATTTGTTGTACTGTTCATGATCCTATAAAGGATTTTTGTATTTGAATCCTCATTTTATGTCTACATCCACAACCAGTATGTAGTTTGAATTATCTGCATGGATAAGACGTGACTGACCTCTAGTGGTGTGAGCCATGTCTGCATGATACTGTAGCAGCTCCAGTTGGCCATTTTTAAAGCTGATCTGAGTTGAGAAAGTTTAGTGTTCAGCTAAATGCTCATTGTCGAGGCCACAGTAATTGGTGAATATCCCATGATAAGAGACTTGTGACTATATTGTGTTTTGGTATTTGACACAGCATCATGAGACTTTTATCCATGCCATATTTAATAACTTAGCAATGTTTGTGACTAATGAATGAGTCACTCAGTATTGTTTGCGGTCTACAGAACTTGTGCCCTATATTTAGATATTTAGATAACTTTTACTGAACTTCTGTGATAACTGCAGGGTGGTATCTGCCACTGACTATGAGTCCATTTTACATTCCACGATTGAAATCATTTTGTGGATATTTCATAGGCTGACTCTAGAATACCCCAGACTCAATATATTTAAAGGCCCCACACACACATGTTTACATCTATACTGGTGTTTTCACTTCTTTTGATTAGACTCAGATCATGCTTGATTGATGATTGTCCCACTCTCCTTTTTGCACCTGATGGGACAGTTTACACCTTTATTTCTTATTAATATGATGATTATTATTATTGTTGTTGTTGTTGTTGTTGGGTACTCCATTTTATATTTTTTGAATTGTCTGATGATTTACATCATTGCTGAAATGTTTTAATACTGATACTTTATCTATATTTATACAGCACTTGGTAACTTTGTTTTAAAAAAGTGCTGTAAATAAATACTGTTTATTATTATTATTATTATTATATAACCTGTATAAAACACCTGTGTGGGTGTGCAGGTCCTTTAAAATGAATGGCTATATTTCCTGACTACAGTCGTAATTTATTGCCATATCTGGATCAACCCACTGAAGGGGCCCTGGGAAAAAATAAGCTTTGGGCCCTTATTGATGCTTAGTTTGTGGTAATTTAATTTAACACAATTTTATTTAAATGTATACGAGTCAAGACGGTTTTAGTTAGGCCTGTATTTGCCTCAATGGGCTTTAAACATATAGAGCATCCATCAGCTGAAGTGATCCACTGTTTTTGTTGCCTGAGGGTCAGGAAATCTCTATCTCTGCTGCTCTGATTTAGACCTTTCGTTCGTCTGTCCCCAAACTTTATGGAAGTACAATGTAGTCCTTTAAGGCTCCAACCAATCATTATGACAAACCAACAACAACAGCCTTGTTTATTGTGGCACTGGTGAGTTAATGGCCTTTACTTTAGTTCTAACCCCCGCATGGTAGGGCCCCTTTCATTCTAAGCTATATCATGTATATCGATCATATTAAATTCTGTCTAAATGGCTCTCACGGCGCGGGCACGTCGGTCCGTGCACGCTCCCCACGCGCGCGCTATGCCCACGCGCCTCTGGGTGCGCGCAGGACCCGTCCCTACAGCGGAGAGCAGCAGCGCATCCATCCTGCCGTGGAGCCGGGAGCGTGGAGCCGCGAGGAGCGCACACACACAGAGAGAGAGAGAGAGAAAAAGACACACAGAGAGAGCGAGAGAGAGAAAAAGACACACAGAGAGAGAGAGAGAGCCACAGAAGATGGACGGAGTGGGATCGTTCGGAGCGGGCCGGGCCGGGACCACTATCGACCCGATTGCCTTCGCCAAACAGCCGCAGACCATCCTCAGAGCGCTGTCCTGGGTGAGAGCGGGGGTTTTCACTGGTAGCCTATTGCTGTTTGCGTGTGGATGTATGTATGTGTATGTGTGGTGGTGGTGGAGGGGGGGGTCCTCTCTGTTGTCGTTGCTGCGCGAGAGCGTGACGTGTTCTCACTGCAAATATAGAGCCCAGAAATCCAGCGATAACTGATAAGCAGGGTGTGCGGATGGAGAGCACGGGAGGATGTGTGAATCGGAGTGTATTGCTATAGAAATGTACCGTACAGGGTGTAACCAGGGCCTGGTGGTTGTCTGACACCCTGACCATGAAACTGATCTCACTACAGATGTGTTGGGTTTTTGTTTTTTTTTCTGGGGCAGAAACCCCCTCAGACATATGCTCATTAAAATAAAAAAAAATAAAAAATCTTGCTTTATAATTGATTTATAAATACAGCCTAAGATGTGCAGCAGACCGGACCCGGATTGTGTAAAAGAGAAAAACGGGAAAGACAGACCCACAACCTATTCCCTCCTCAGCCGCCTCCTTCCTGTTATTCAGGGCAGCTTTTACTGTTTTAATCTCTGAACTGTAACAGTGTTATTCTCCGACCATATCGCCAATCCTATTTCCAGCTAATGATTTTGCTGATTTACCCTAAACGGTCGTCGTCCGTCATCCCACCTGTGATTGGTCCGCGATCATCATTACGCACGCAGGGCCACGGAGACGCGTCGTGGCCTGACGTTTGATGTAACGCATCACCTTTAGGTGACACAGAGAAGGTCTATTTTGACAGTGCAGGGGGTCTTTGAAACCCACCGAGGTCCCTCTGTAGTGTCCTAATGGGTTCATGTGGATGTGTGTATTATAACTGCATGTATGTTCAAATATGTGTACAAGGGGTTAGACAGGATTTACTATTGAGTCCTCTAGATATGTTGTCAGGCTTCTACAGAGGCTTCAATCACATCTTAATATTCATCATGCAGCTGCAGTCAGATCCTTTACTTATTAGCAAAACAGAAAGTATATGTACTTTTTATGCATTGCTCCTGTTACTCAAGTGTTAATATTATTAACAATTATTATATTAATATTGATTATTTATATTGAACCATTTTACTGTTGTAGCTGGTTAAGATGGAACTTTATTTACATTAAGGTTTAGTTTATTCCAGTGGTTCCCAAACTATAAAGCAGAATAAAATGTAAATACTCAAGCAAAGTACAACTATTTTAAAACTGTAAGTAAGTACAGTGTTTGTAAATGTGCTAAAATCCTTTCCAACCGCTGGCTACAATGAGGAGTAGCAGCAAGTACAGCAGAAATCCATTTGAAGTAGAAGAAGAGGTGGCACTTTGTTGCTAAAGCCGCTGCTTTCTCCAACTTTACGTAGTGTAAATCCTACAGCTGAAAGATTTTATAATTAAGGAACAAGGAAATTAAAGTGCAAAGAGGATAAGTGAGCAGACTATATGACAATGTCAAAATATTCAAGGGTGGAATTTTCCTTTAATCAAGCTTAAAAATGTCTCTGCACGAGTTTTCCATCAGCCACTCGCTGTACATGTGAAGTCATATTTTTAAAATCATGCAAAAGAAATTAGTGGAAGTTTCCATTTGGAGATGCAGTACTCTGATACATATAAGCAGCTAAAAGCATCTGAGTGTGTATCTGCTCAGATTAAATCCACACATGTGATTAGTTTGAAATGTGGACCTGACATTATCCCATTGTGTGTCCCTCCACCATCATATGACCCAAACCCCCAAGTGTGAGTGCATATCTGCGTGTGTCACATGGCCCTATTCTGCCATAGAGTGTAAGTCAGCTGATCAGTGTCAGTGTGAGTCCAGCACAGAGGTAGAAGAAATACAGAGAACTACAGACCAAAAGAATGGGATGAATTAACGGGGGGGGGGAAAGTTTTATAAGATGAGATATATCAGCCTTCAGCACACTTCCTCTTTTGGTGTACACACCGCCTCGGGACTATGTGATTCTTGAAGGGAAGTGAAGCATCCACCTCTTCAGTCAGTCAGAGAGAAAGAGAGGAAATTAGGTTAATGCCTTCGGTCTGAGCACGCTCAAAGAGATGCTCTCGAGTAGCGTGGCCACAATCCTGTTTCCAGTAAGCCTGCAACAGTAAGAGACTGAGAGAGATATGTTTATTGTTTAGTGGGTAATTTGTATTCTCTCTCTCACACACTTTCTTCCTCTTCTTGCGCCGCCCATCCACAGATATTTTCCCTGGTGGTCTTCGCCTCCATCGTGAACGAGGGTTACGTTAACCTGGGCAGCGAGCGCCTCCACTGTGTCTTCAACAAGAATGCAGACGCGTGCAACTACGGCGTGTTCGTGGGCCTGGTGGGCCTGCTGGCGTGCTCCTTCTTCTTCCTGCTTGACTACAAGTTCTCCTCCATCAGCTCCGTCAAAGACAGGAAGAAGGCTATAATGCTTGAGATCGGCTTCTCGGGTGAGGAGGCGATCATGTCCAGAATTGGCAGAAATAAAACGTTCCAGTTGTTGACATAATTGTTACAACTTCCCAAGAGTCAGGAAGTGCCACACACAACATCTTCAATGTGGACATTTCATAGTTAGCCTGTGATTTGATATGTGTGGATGTTCTTTTTGATCAGGTTGAAAGGCAGGATTCAAAAGGCTGGGTTTCCCCAAAATACGTGTAGCCCAACTAGGTCAGCTTCTTTGTTTCAGATGTCTTCTTTCTGGCACCATCAAGAGAAATGAAACCTGTAAAGTTACATAAAAGGTAGTAGAAGGAATCAGAGATTTTTTATCTCTAAAGGGAACAGAGAACTGCGGATCAGGATATGAGAATTCAGCACCCGCATCTGGTGTTTAATGTGTAAAATTAACTTGGAAAATACCTTTTCTTTTGTCTGTTGTAACAAAGTGTTTTTGTTCCACTGCTTTCTGGCAGGTTTCTGGAGCTTTCTGTACTTTGTAAGTTTCTGCTTTCTGGCCAATCAGTGGTCTCGGACCACACCTGATGAGCTGCCACTCAACCAGGGTGCAGATGCAGCCCGGGCTGCAATCGCCTTCTCGTTCTTTTCCATAATCACCTGGGTGAGAACATGCAACTACACAGACACATAAGTACTGAGGCACACATTATACACACACATACAATGCAAAGAAATGCAATGCAACAAATATTCATAAAGTAACACAATATTAAGCCTTAGTTTTTACTAATGTTGTATTTTTTACACATTTTTCAACCCCATGGTGGGTCAACCATAACTTTAAAAGTGCTGCTGCTGGTTTAAAACTGCACATAAAAAGTAAAGCAATTTAAATATGTCAGTATCTTTATATTGGACCATGATCAGGACACTTTTGACTGAGAAATCTAAGTTTCCAAAGAGAAAATTTAATAACACATCAAACAGAGGCTCTAGATTAGAGGCACCCTGACCAGTTGGGCCCCTGTGTCTGTGCCTGGTGGGCCCCTTTGATAATCCATCCATGACCTAAACTATTGACAGTAATCCGTTTCTGACTTAATCGAAGGTGAGAAACTGGTCATGCATCTGCTGAATCCTGCTTGATAGTTTTATGCCGCACACACAGTATCGTTGTCTGAACTCTCTGCTTCAGTCGGGCTCAATGCTCTCATTATGATTTTCACAGAGTTTTAAAAGGAATAGTTCAGCATTTTGGAAAAACACTTATTCGCTTTCTTGACAAAGGTTAGATGAGAAGATGGACACCACTTTCATATATGTCTGTTATTATTCTGCACATCTACTTTATGAGGCAGGTGCGTAGGAGTGGGATGGATTTTTAGGTTAAAAAAAATTCAAGCTGCAAACATTTATAAGCAAATTACAAAATCTGCCTACCAGACCTATTTAGATAATTTGGACAGAACCAGATTACTGTTTACTGTGTGTCAGTCTTTATGATAAGCTAAGCTAAGGATATGATACGAAAACTGTATTGTGATGAGAATCCCAACCAAAGGGAAGTGTAACGTTTAAATAATGATGATGGAGCCTCTAAACTTGAGCATATTCAAGGAGTCAAGGCAACTTTATTTCTATAGAGGCAATTTGATAAAACAATCTACTTTAAAATGTTGCTTTTAAAAGTGGGTTCCTGACTAATATCTGGCTATGAAAACTGAGCTTTCATGATGTACTTACTTTGACTAGAGCACTACCTACTGTTGTGTTTCTGATCTTTTCCATCTATTGTCCCCCCCCCCCCATATAGGCTGGTCTAACCGTACGTGCAGTCCAGAAGTATCTGCTTGGCACAGACATGACTCTGTTCACCACGGAGCACATGGACGGCGGCGCGCCCACCCAGCCGTACCCATCCAATTCCCCTGTAGGCGACACCACTGAGACCACAGAGACCTACCAGAGCCCACCATTCACTGAGAACAACGCAGCACCCACATACCAGGTTCCCATTTACTAGAGAAGATAGACCTGATGGTGGAAAAGGAAGGTCAGGAGAGGGATGAGAGAAAATTGCTTTCTGTGGTGTAACACCTGCAGTTGTTCATGTGTTGATCTGGGCTGAGTTTTCAATAATTGTTAAAAACAAAATAAAAAAACGGCCTCTCCTTCTTTGTTTCCTCCTCTTGTTCCCTTTCCTTCCTTAACATTCCACTTATCTGCACTTTTCTAGACCTCTATGTTAAACTCAATTTCCTACTAGTGTCCCCTGGATCAGAGCAGATGAGAGAGCAAGAAAGCAAGAGGAGGACATGTAGAAGAAGAGGCCGCTTTGCAGTATTCAAACACTATTTTGAAGAGAAAAAAAGAGAGATGAAGGGATCAACAAGTGAGTGACTCCACCACAAAGCAGTATTGGATTACTAAAAATAGTGCAGAAGGCACCTTCATCTTATTCTTTTCATTCATTGAAGTGTCAAAATCCCCCTTTCATGCCAAACAGTACGGGGAATGTTTTTTTTTATAGCTACAGTGCGGTCTGGTCCTTCCTTCATCTTTCCCTGCTGCAGTTAAAAGTAATCATGTGTTTTGAATCTGCACGTTTCAAAACTTAGAGATCAACTAAGTGCCATACTGTACTGTGTGTCTCAGACAGTGACTTAATTTAGTAGATTTCTACATGCTGTAAAAAACGACAACAATGTTTTGTGACCAAGTGCAATATCACATTCTTATAGGTCTGTAGGTAGGTATATACTGTACTGTAGGTAGGCTAGTTACCGTCAGATTAGACCAATTTTAGGCACTGTCTCAAATTACATACTAGTCTTTGAATTGTACTAACAAATCTCAGGCAAATTTTCAAATTCAAATTGTTGATCTGACTGGTGAAGTTTGCAAGATATGGAAGTTATTGTATATCTAATAGGTCCTGAGAGAGCTTCTCATTCACAAAAGCTTGTTGACAATTGAAATAAAATTAGATTTTATGTCATCTTTTCAAGTATTTTACTGTATGGTCTTCCTCGATCGTAATGGAATCATAATTTTACATGTGTATTTACATTTTAAAGAAAAATGGTGCCACAATGCAAAATATTCCTCAAGTACATTAGCTGAATCTGTGTGAATCTGCTTCATTCATACACATGGATCATGGTTGATCACCCTTAAGATTCATTAGGGAAACCCTAATCCACATCCACAGTGAAAATGACCAAAAAGAGACACAAAACAACTACATAGAGATGAATGGACCACAAAGAGACACGGTTGTTTGTGGTCATCTTGTGTCTCTTTTAGTCAGGGGGTCTTGCTTCTATCTCAGAGGGAAGTGGGGGGGGGCTTTCACATGTCTGTGTCCAGGGGCCCGTTGTCTCATAATCTGTCCATGTTACCAGAGAATGAATGTAGTGTGTTATTTGAGACAGTGTCCTTTGTTGAAAGTTGTGTGTATAAAATGGGGCGACTGGGGAGATTCTGGATAAGTCAGGTCTGTTTATGTTTACGTTTTAGAAGCTGCCAAACTGCCCTGTGTTCTTATTGCTGACTTCTGATTACCACGTTACTACTATGTTGTTAGTGTCTGTAGGAGTTTATGTAATCACAAAGCAGGGGGGGCAACAGATGAGCTTTTATTCAGTGAGCGAGGTCGGTTGCTGGAGGATTCAGTGCTGTCTCAGGCAAAAGACAAATCTGTTGGTGGGATGTTGAGGATGCGGAAGCTGGCTAATTCATTGATCCTGCAATCCAGGACATAGAGGGAGAAGGGGTTGGAATTGTTGCCATGGTAACAGGGACAGTATAGGGTGAGCCACTAAGGGCCCTGATGTAGATAGTCATCATGCCAACCATGTCGGTGTATAGCAGTGTCTGTGTCGTGGTTCACATACACTCGCCATCAGCGTAGTTTTGGTGTGTGTGTGTGTGTGTGTGTGTGTGTGTGTCCATGTGCTACAAGCGTAAATGTGTTAGCATGCATGAGAGATGTGTGGGTGTGTTTGTGTTTGTGTGAAAATGTGTGAATGTGTGTAGTTGATAACATTTTTGTGGTGCATAAAAGTTATTTTCTTGTTTGTAAAAGTTTCAGTGCAGAGGAGGAAATTATAAGTCTGCTACACCACTGAATCATATCCCCCCCAAAAATATATATTATCAGCGTCCCTGTCAAGATATTTACAAAGTATCAAATTAAGAGTTGTTTTTTTATGAATAGAGCCAAATATAAAACTTCATGTTAGAGTGATATAATTGACCTGTAGAATGCCTTGCCTGCTATTCTATCTGATCATGTGTAAGCAGCGCCCTCTGCACATTAGATACGGCCCTGCAGCAACAGGACAACTGGGGCTCTCAGAGTTTTAAAAGTACTCATGATAATAATGCATGAAATTGTTGTATAGAACTCATTATATACTGAATACTATGTAATTCTTAAGTTGACTCAAGGACGTTTTGCAAAGTGAGATTAGCCAGTCATCAGTGCAGCTGACAGGATTCCTTCTTGTGTTATTGTAATTCCAATTTATTATTAACTACCCAAACAACTATTTGTTTAACTCTCTTATCTCAGCCTCATGATCTTGATGGCCACACGTACACAAGTGTGTACATATCTCAGAGCTCCAGGGGTGAAACTGTCCCAGAATGCTGACTGTAACTCACATTGTCTTTACTTTACTTTAAACTGTAGTAAAGAAATCTTAATGTGACACAAGAACCCAGGGCCTCGAGCTACACTGACATGACAGTGTCAGCTAATAAAGTACAGGCTCTATGTTAAAATTCAGCCAATTTCCATTTGTCTTTGCTCCAGTTCTAGAAAGGATTGAAATCATTTCAAAGTTGCCTTGTAAAACAGAACCAAGACCACTCAGTTTAAGATTTACCTGTGAGCATTGTTTTTAGTATTTTTTTATTCCCCAGACTGTCCGTCAGCGAGTGCATAGTTAAGTGTGTATATGTTTTAAACTGAGAGATAACAGTAGTATTTCCTTTTAGGATTTTGGTTTCGGGAAAGGGTGCAACACTTCTAGAAGCTGGAGTGTTACTGGGTGGGGTTTCAGGTCCTCTGGGATATGGTTTGGTACTGTTATGTCTATCTGGTGTAGTTAAAAGACTATACTTTCTGGTTTTTCATGTTCAGCCCATTACCTACAAGTTGTATGAACATTACGGTCAAGTATTTCCTGAAGCAACTGATGTTGATTCTTTAAAACAGCCCTTGGTTTTAGTTTATTCTAATGTGATATATCACCTTACAGAGACTTGAGACATGAAATGTTTTGGTGACCTAATGCTTATTGTTTGTCTTTCAGGTTTGACTCTGACATGTTGGTAATGCAATGATTTTCAGAAGCTGACACTTAGAGCTCAAGAAAGTTCTTGTTCAGTGCTTACAAATGCACTCCATGATAGTGAAAGTGTTTCAGCATGTATTCACATTCAGCATTTACCTCTCTATATAGTTGTTTTAATTGTTAGTGTCAGAGTCCGCCATCCATGCATTGAATTTAAGTTTGATTCCATAACTAAATATTAACAATGATCAACTAAAGTCTAAAGAAGGAAATCAATTAAAAATCTGATAAAAAAAACTGGTTTTGAAAATGTCAGTAATAATAATACGTATGAAGTATGCTAAAATATGAAAAACTGCCAGTATAGTTCTTTAAATCTTGGGTATTACTGGGCTGCTAGTAACCTGTTAACTGTGGTCAGGTGAGACTGGGGTATTGATGGTGGTATTAGGTACTACTGGGGTACTATTAGGTAGTTTGGGGTACTGTCAGGTCGTATTATTGTTCTCAGTGCTTCGGTCTCTTCTTCAGTCAGTGTGGTAGATAAAAATAATAATACAAGCATTCTCTATGTTTTGTGCTCTGGCCCATGTACACTACCGTGGTATTGGTTGATTGTAAATTTCAGTATGTTATTGAAGTAAATGGAACCTGTGTGTGATGCTGTCTAGGGTCTGGTTTGTCCTGTACTACTGAAAATAAAAAATAAAAACATTAATAATGATTATTTATTAACAAGAATGCACTCTTTGTTGGAAATACTTTGTTTGACCACTTTTGAAGGAGCCATTGGCATCAAAAATCAAAGTTATATGTGATCATGCTGTTGCTTTGTTAGACTGAAATAATAAAAGGTGATGATATGTAGTGACGCTGGTGCCATCAGTTGTGTGGTTTCCAGTATAAAACATTGCATGGATGTTAAAATATTTCTCCCATAATATTGATAATAAAAATTTAACCCCCATTGATCAACAAACAAACCTTTTTTTTGTAGCGTGCTACCCTTTAACATGTTTCTTCTGAGTTGTTTCTTCCTGTTCTGAAGGTGTTTGACCTCTTCAGTGTAAAAACGCTGTGTACAGAGATGTGTGTCACTGTCTATTACCTGAATGTCTCTGGACTGCAGTCTGACCGTCACTCCAATAAAAAAGAAAACATGTTTTGGACTGCCTGTTTCTGTCCCTGACTTTAATATGTGAAGATATGTATTGTTATAAGTGACTATAATCAATATTTTTATAATAATGTAACAATGTGAAAGCTCAAGAGCCAGATACAGTTAGTAGAGACCAAAGGCTGACCTAAAAGGAGAGTGAATATTGGACTTGCATTTATCAAGTGGCCATACACACGACTCCAAATGAATGCTAATGTTGCTCTGTATCTGCAAATGAGCAACTTTAAAAGGTGATATGTCAATGTTGTATTCACAGCTTAATTACGCTGCCCTGACGAGGCCAAAAAAATCAGTTATTATAGGTTTAATTTACATAAAATGTTCAACAAATCGATTTGATACTTTGTCATTGCATCAAAAGTCATAATGCAAGTTATTAGCCAAACCTGACTAAAATATTTCTTCTGGATTAATATTCAATATCTAAGAAATAACAGTACAGTATTGACCAGGAAAACTGAAAAATGACAAACTTCAGTAGAATTATTAAAGGAATGCAAAAGAGGAAAACTTTCCACATTTTATGAAAATTATCATAATGGCCTTCTGGGAACCATTAGTTTGTTGTTTCCCCAGTATACATTTAGTTAAACACAACACATACCTGATACAAATAACAAGCAGCTGATTATAAAAGGTGCATAGTTTGTGTTATATGTCAAGAACGTCTCAGTACGCAGAAATTAAAGGACGCTTTTAAAAACATCGACCATCTATATGGGTGTTCCACACACACACACACACACAGAGCTCTAACAAAGATACAGAAGCATACAGTGCTGAAAGATAACAGCTTTATTGAAGCCAGACAGAAAAAAAAGAGGAAGCTGCTGTATGACGTGTAGACAAACTATATACACATCATTCAGACTCTCTCTCGCTCTTACACGCATACGCACACACACACACACACCCAGGTGAGCAGCGGTGCAAGCAAAGGGTCCTGAGAGAGAAAATGAACAGATTGTGTACTGGATGTAACCAGTCCCCCCTATCGAACAGAGTTAACATGCGCTGTGTGTCAAAACTGTAATTCAAAGGGAGTCGGAATGATAATATTTGTATGTGTTGCAAGAAATGATTCTTAAAAGTAGATATAACTGTGGAAAACATGCAAGGACATGCTTTCATTCTTTAGTTCCATTTAGTTTCAAACAAATGGCACTGATTAACCAATCCATCAATCACCAAATCAACCAAATGTAATGGCGATTGATGTGAACAGAATAAAAAAAAAAGAAAAAAGGAACATATTAAAAAAATTTCACTGACTGAAAAATTTGTTCCAATTCCCAAAGCAGCTTACTTCCTGTCACTCACCCTCCTACATGATGTATCTGACAGACTACAACAATCCATTCACTCAAGCATTTAACAGGCCTTCCCCTTGCATGAAGCAATGAACAATCAAACAGCTACACTTAAATAAATATGGTGCTGAGTAGTTGAACCAAACAGGTTTGCGTTTATTTTGTTATTAACCAAGCAGCCCCGCTGGGGAATCATACACACTTTATCAACGTTGATGTTAACAAAATACAATTTGTCATCTTCTGTTAAAGTGAAAACACAAAGCAAGGTAAAAAAAATGTAAATCAATACAATTTTTCTATCAGGGAGCAACACATTTAAGCAAAGCCTCAGCTTGTCTCTTCTCTCTCATTAAATAAATTGACAGTTCTGGTTAGACCAGTGCCAGTGCCAGCTGGAGACGTCCTCGAAGGATGTGAGTGGAAATAAGAGTTGAAATGGGGAAATTGTGTGTAAACTGTGAATCAACATAATTCCCATAGAAAGTAAAAACACCATAAACCATCTCAAATTCCAACTCGTTATGAGGTATAAGCCCCAAACTCCACTGGGACGCGGTCGCGCAGGAAACGGGCTGCTGTTCTCCACGCTGTCTGCTGCAGGGCTTTGACAGGGCTGCAGGGGCAACTGAAGATTTGCCCCAAAATGGCAAACGGAGCCGAGAGAAAAAAAAAACGAGGGGCTAGCTGATGATACGGCTAATTGACTGCAAGGAAGGGAATTCCTCAGTCTCTCTGATGTGCAGGGTCTTGTGGGAGTTGAAGTCTTTGTGGGCCAGTACCTGTCTGCAAGTGGGGCACACCTGGCAGTCCAGCTCAGCTGCTGCGTTAGCCGCTGTGGTCGGCATCTGCCAGGCGTTCTTCTTGTTCTTGTTTTTCTTTCCTCCACCGGCGCCTGACTGCTTCTCCACGGCCTTGCAGTCGCTGTGGGCAGTCAGGAGCTCCTGTTGCTTGCCAGTGTCCGGCAAGAGCACCAGCAGCTCGTTGAAGATGCGGTTAAAGTCGTCTCCGAGCAGGTCCTTACAGCTGCGGTGGTACTGGGCTGCTGATATTACACCCTGGGAACAAAGAGAGAGGGTCAGAAGATAGGCGAGCCATGAACTCATAACCCTGTACTATGGGCTTCAGAACTGTACCATTATATACATTTTACTCTCCACATTTAGTAACTAATGGATAATGGCAAGTTGCTTTTGCTAAAACATATCTATAATTCTTGTTGTTATAATTATCGATGTGCATTCAAAAAAAAGTACACAATTCCAGATTAAAATGTGTGATTATTGATGGAAAAACAAGAATCTCAGGATGACAGTTTTGATTATTAGGTGGTGCGTACCTGTCTGAACTGTGCAGAGTAGTTTTTAAACTCGTTGAACTTTGACTCATCGTTGTGGAGGTACTTTCTAATGGACTGGATCAGCTCCAGGTTTCTCTGATGGAAGTCGTCTGGGACTAGGTAACCGCTGCTCGACACCTTGGGGGGCCTGGAAAATTTAAAGTTAAAAAAAAAAAAAAACATGCTTTCACCCACTTAATACCTGGAAACATCAATAAATCTTTGTCAAACAGACAAATCAAGTGTCTCACGGGTTGACTGCGGAAGGAGCAGGCTCCACCACATTGCTGTTGAGGGGTATCCCGGTGAATCCCGGGGGAGGTTTAGTGGCTGAGATTCCCAGGCCGGGTGGAGGTGGGGGCAGAGTGGAGGATGGGGCAGGAGCTGAGGCCTTCATTGGGAAGGAGCTCTTGAAGCCTGAGAAATAAACACAGTGTGAGCTGCTACTTCTACTGCAACAGGGCGACCCCAACAACTGGCTTCCCAGCACTTAAGCTAATATATGACGCCATCGGGTATGATGTGTCAAAGTAAACTAACTCCAAATTTGGGCAACAGGACAAAACCAAGGCAATCAATACAGCTGACAGGAACAGCCAGACAGCTGTAAATTCCAAACACAGACCTCTTTAAGCCTTAATATTGACAAAAGAATAACTTTCAAAATTGCCAAACAGACGAGAGGTGAAATGAGCCATCAAGACTCCAACTTGCTGTGGAAATTCTTATTGACTTTGTATTTGGAAAGTAGACTGGAACATTTCCAATTCACTTCCAGGAAGTCTGTCTGAGTTGTTTTTTGGAGAAGGCACCGATCAGCCATTAAAGCTGATACAGTCAGTCAGAACCAGTCAAACTCAGTCAGTCAAGTCATCATAAAATATGTTGTCGAGACTGAAGGCAACATACACCTGATGTTACTGTAAGATCAACAGCACACTAATTCGGATCATCCCTCTGGAACACCTGGTATACAAGAGAAAACTGTAAGGGGTTAACAGATGATAAATGATATCAAGGAGTGCTATACCTGGCGGTGGGTTCTTGGTCATGAGGGCAGGGAACTCTTCCTCCTTGTCGAGAGGGGGGTCTGTGTTTGGATGAGGGGTTACCGCAGCTGCCTCCTTAATTACGGGTGGCGATTTCTCAGGGTGGCCATTAGCCAATCCACTCGTCGGTGCCCCTGTCACAGCGCTGGAAAGGGGTTTGTTCCAAGTTTTCTCAGGGACGTTCTCCTTCTGTGCTGCCGTTTCCACTGAGATTGTACTTACAGTTTGTGCCATCCCTGACACTGCAGACACAGACGCCGAGGGAGTGGCTGTGTTCTTCTGCTGTTTTTTCTTCTTGCTGGCTTTCGAGGTAGTTGGATCAGGATTAGGGGTCGTGTTCAGAGGGTTGGAGGTCACAGTAGGGGGTTTGCTGTTGCCTCCTTTAACGGTGAGCAGAGAGGAGATGTCGAACATGGTGGGCACTGAGCGGAACTCCTGCTGCGTCATTCCTCCGCTTTCATCCTCGGAAGAAGGAGGAGACCGGGTAGTGGGTTTCCCATTATCCCCTACTTTCTTTTTCCTCCGAGAAGACAAAGAGTTTGAGGAGGAGAGGAGCTGAGGGCCAGACGATGTAGATGAGAGCGGAGGGGGAGGTCTGGAGGAAGGAGGGGGGTGAGTGGTGGGTTTAGCTACAGCAGTATGGGTGGACCAGGCGGAGTTTCTACCAGCTGCGGTTTTGAGGGGCCGGATTTTGGACACGAGAGCGGGGAAATCCTCCTCTTGGAAAGAGGAAGTCTTCCTAGGTTGGGCAGAGTAAGCCGGGGTCATCGGGGATGAAACGGCGACAGCTGAGAGGCTGGGGAAGTCGTCTTCCTTCAAAGCCGCATGGGCTGCCGTTACCGCCACAGGAGCTGGCTTTACGCTGGAGAGACATACAACAGAAGTTTCACATTTCAGCACACCGGGGTGTACGATGAGGATTTCAGTCTGTAGTGTGTGTGTGTGACAAGTTACATGGGTGGGGCAGCAGTGGCTCCCAAAGCAGGGAAGTCATCTTCTTCTGGATTAGTGCTCTTCATTGTTCTTACTGTGAAAGAGTGACAAAAAATAGTTCTTGCTTCTGCAGTACTTCTATCAGCCCTGCTAAATTACAGCTATCGATGACATTACATACAAGAAATGGTCAGTATGTTTTTAACATTTTCACCTGGAGGTTTGCTTGTTGGTTTGACGGGTCCGGTCCTGTGTCTGGGCTCTTCTGGTTCTGTTCTCTCCGTCCTCTCAGTCCTCTCCGTCCGCTCCGTCCTCTCCGTCCTCTCCTCTCTGCAGTGTCTGGGAGCGCTC